GGCATTTGACAATTTGAAAAGTGGACCTTGTATCTACAACCATAACACAGGATAATGATGATATGATGATGATGTAAATGGAAATGTTCTTTTCCCCTTCTGTCACATGAAAAGTTACAATTCAGTGAGTAATGGTAATTTGAAGACCATTTTGGAACTTCCTGGCTGAATACAGCCCTGCAATTTCAGATGGGACAACCCTGAAGTATGAGACAGCATTGTTCAGTTTCTTCAGATCTCTATCTATATTTTCATACAAGCAGAGGAATCCTTCTGACCTTTGATTCCACCAATAACTGAATGTGTGATCTTTTTTTATAAGTTACCCAATCTCACAAGGTGTCACATCTCAATTATACTTTTTGAACTCATCATTTCATATGTCTATATATCAAATTTACAAAGCCTCTGGTGGAAATGTGATAGTACACTGATCAAATTCTACAGCTTGTCAATTTCTACCTTTATTTGAAATCATCATCAAAATGATAACTAGACAGTATTTGACAATAAACACTTGGAAAGGCCTTCTTCATGTGAACACTTAATTTTTGGATCAGACGGCATGTTTATACATGGGAACTGTAATGGAGGTACATGCTTATAAATGTTACAATAAATATTATGTGCTGTCTGTCTCCCTTAAGGCTGTTTGCAGTGCAGCGTACCACACTGTTAATTGCAGAAGAGAATTCTTGGCTGTGATTCCTTTTTATCACATAAACACTTTAATGAGCCATGTGCAGCCTAGGTTTGAGTTCCTCTTGTGTTCTGTGTAATTTATACATAACAAAATGTTTAACTGAAGTTCAGGTCCAATAATGCAAGACATTTCTTTGGAAGAAGCTTGGAAAATCAATACCCGGGATTCTGGAAACTATGCTTTCTCTTGCTTTTTGCACAATGCAGCACTATCCTTTACTGCATCCCTATCTGGGTATTCTGAAACAGATCCTATTAGGTTGAAACCAATGGAACCCTTCTTTTTTGAAAAATCAAATAACAAAAACAAATACCACTGCAAATACACCAATTGCAGTGAGGCAAATAGCTTTGCAAGAGCTCACTCATCTTGTCCCATTTTAAAAGAGCCTTCTAGTCATCTAATCTAATATTACAATTAGATTTAAAATAAAATGATTTACTGTATACTGAAGACTGGAACTTCAGTTGTCAACTGTAATTGTAACTTGTAACTGCATTTCTCAAAAATACCTCATTTCACAACCAGAGATTTAAAAAGAATATTCCTTCCTCCACAGGCTGTGGTTGCAGCTTATCCATGAAATCTAGCTAGGACCTGAACTATCTTGAGTTCAAATGAAACTTCAACTTCTGGGCAGACTAATGCGTACGGCTAGGAATCGGATGGACACCACAGTGTGGTACAAATAAATACATGAAATCCTAGGAAAGTAAGAGGAACACTTTGGAATACTCCATAATTATTCCATGATTTGGTAGAATCTGGTGGCATTACATTGGCTCTCCAAAATGTACTGATGAAATTATTGCAGACTTCTGTTTTTGTGATTTGACATGCTAAAAGTTAATAAAAGCTGTTTTGTGAGATGGGCAGCTATTTTAATTTGACAAATAAATAAATAAATAAAACACTTACTTGCTATTATAAAATGCTTCTGGATCTCCTTGTACATATCTACTGTTTCTAGCCAGAGATCCATATTACTCCTTGTTGACTTTCTGAAAATTATTAATGACCTGGTTGTTCTCCCATATCTTGAGCTAGGCTGAGCCTCTTTGGTTTTTGGTTCTGATCAGTTGCATTCTTTCTTAGATATGTAGGTTGATTTCTTACAATTTTTAAATTGTAAGACACCCAGAGTCGCTATGGAGTCAGTCAGCTTCAAAACTGAAATAATTAATTTTTCCAGTAATTGATACTGGCATATAGAGACTAAGAAAGATGAACTCTTTTTGAATTTTGCAGGAGTCACAAACAAGTAAATGTACACAAGTAAAACAAAAGCCTTTCCTTATAGACTTTGGGAATTGTATGTCTTGCTGTTTCCTGTACACTTCCTTATTCAGCCTGCTGGCTTTTTTATGAGCTCTCTTTATCTTGCCTTTGGATCACAATAGCCTGAAGTTGTTCTTCTGACAACATCTTGTTCTGTAGAGCAACTGTAGATTCATCCCTTTCATCCACTGTCCCCATCTGTGTAGATTCCTGAAATCTGGGGGGGGGGGGACTCTGGCACCCTAGCATATATTTCCTTAGTACGATCTGTACTTACTACTTAGCAAGCAGCAGTAGCAGCAAGGATTTCTACAAATCTACTGTGTACTCAGTAGAAGTTTAATTTTTCTAAAGGGCAAAACTTAAGAAAAAAAATTGCTATGTTTGTGAGTAATAAAGCTATTAGTTGAAAGCTAGCTACATTTACTCAGAAATAGGTCCACTTTGCTTCTCGAATTCCACTTTTCTACAGAGAGATACATATGAATTGTCAGTACTTTTTTTGTAATTCTTTGACACTCGATTGTCAAAGTGCTCCATTTGTGCATTCACCAGGGTGAACAAATTCATCGGTAAGGATCCCTTGAGACCGTTGAAGACGGGGGGAGGGGGGACTTGGCCTTCAATTACTACTGCACACGTGTTGTTTATTTAGGACAGTGTTTCTCAACCTTGACAATTTTAAGGCATGTGGACTTCAACTCCCAGAATTCCACAGCCAGCATTGCTGCCTGTGGAATTCTGGGAGTTGAAGTCCACATGCCTTAAAATTGTCAAGGTTGAGAAACACTGATTTAGGAGGACGACTTCCGTGTTTGACGGACCTTCTCCCGGCTATGCCCTTTTTCTCTTGTTCCCTCAGAGCGAGACCGCGGCCAGCTTCGTCTTCCAGCTCTCAGGAGGAGACA